GCTCCCCACCTGTCCCAGTTCCAGTCTTTGTTCAAATGTCACGTCTCCGTGAGGCCTTCCCTTCCCACTTGCAAACACTGCCACCACTTCTGCCACCACATGAATCTATAACATGCACCGAACTTTCTTTCAGGTCCCTCTGAAAGGACCTGATGATCCTATAGAGCACTTACTGGGCCTTAGAGTGCCCTTCGTTTGGGGCTGGGGAGACACACAGGCATTTCTATTCTAGCCATAGAGGGCAATGAATTTCACGGTAGCACTTTTCTCCAAAGCCTAGACTGTGCTTAGAATACCAAAGTTGAGGAAGTTATGATCTAGTCACTATTCTAAGAGCTAAGTTAGTCTCATGTATTTGTTCTCTGTTTAAGGAGCAACATCAAGCTCCGTGAGAGCTTCCCCCTCTCAACTGAATTTCAGACAGCTGTTCCATCGGCTCCTAGCAATATGCCCTCCCTGTTTGAGCGTATCAGCAAGATCTTGGTCAAAGAGATTGGAGCCGAAGACCTGAGGCCCATGAGACCCCTGGAGAGCGTGAAGAAATACCGCTCGCCGTCGATACTACGGAAGAGGAGGACCCGCTCGGGGTTCTGGGAATCACCTGACGTGCCGGCAGAGTACACCCTCACGGACTTCCTGGAGCCAGGCTCTTCAGTCCCAGGTACTGTCAACAAGGGCAAAGGGGCGAGGAGTGAAAAACACGGTTGCTCACAGGCAGTGCGGTACGCAAGGGTCCCTGAGGCCCCCACACAGGTCAGCGTTAGCGTTGGTTTTGCCAAAAGACCCTGGGCAAGAAGCTATGGTTACTTGAGAATCTGCAACACCTGGACACAAGCATGTATTAGTTCATCTAATTTTCACCGCAGCCTCTTACGTCAGGGACATTATCCCCACTTACACAACTGTGAATTGAAACATAAAGTAATCTGTGCCAGGTTATGCACCTAGGAGCTAGTAAGACTAGAATCCAAACTAAGATCCGCCTGTCTCCATATGCTTCACCCTTTCTGCTCCAGGGTGCTTCTGCCTGGGCTGGACGTTGTGCCTGCTCCAGAGGAAAGATGATGTCGTGGGTCCCCTCGACTGGTGCACACACGATGTTACCGTGTCTTGGGGTTTGGAGTGCTATCACTGTTATCCAACACCTGGGCTGATTCAGACATTTGTCCTCAGCAGGAATTTACATTTAAACATTAATTGAGGGTCACCTGGGTGGCTCAGTTTGTTGAGTGCCTGAATCTTGATTTTTGGCTCAGGTCATGATCTCAGGGTCAAGAGATGGAGCCCCCATATCAGGCTCCACATCAGCAAGGAGTCCGCTTGAGGATTCTCTCTCTGCCCTGCCCCCAGTTTCTCTCTCTCTAATAAATAAGTAATAAAAAATAATAATAATAATAACCATTCGTGTGATAGATTCTCAACTGACAGATGTAAATGAATAGGAGGGTTGGAACAACACAGGACTCTGCCATTCACTTTCCCTCCATTCCCGAGTAAATTCTTGGCTCAATCTAAGGCCACTTTTTCTGTCCCCAGAAATTGATGTCTCAGGACCGTTTCACCTCAGTGACTCTGTGGGCCAGAAGCAGAAGGCTTCTACCAACGTGACCGCTGGGCTAGAAGTGAATGTGTCAAGGGAAGCTACTGAATGCCGTGGATCCTCCCTCCAGTTTCAAGTTGTTAGTATCCTGACCCATAAATGGAAAGACCTTCAAAAGAGGTGAGGCCACAGGAAGGAAGGAACGGGTCAACAGGGCCCGTAGGGCTCTCCTCGTGCACAAAAAAGCCCCTAGCAGTCTTTGCTGCTACGTTCAGAGTGCAGAGCATGACATCCCAGACCATGCTGTTCTTCTCGGGTATTTATTCATTCATTCAGCCAACTGGCCATTATTAGTTATCTGGTATCTATTTATTAAACCTGTGACAAAGAATCCGAAACTCTCTGCTTAATAAGTCAAGTATGCAGCTGTGTCCTGGGATTCCATGTACCTGCATGTATATGGGCAAAGGCAGATATCAAATGATCCTCTAGGAGCTATGGACAGCTTCCTACGTCAGCTTAAATAGTGTGTTCATAAAGGCGACACACTGGTAGGCAACAAGTTAAAAAACAGCAAACCTTTTAGAAACTGAAAGTTACTTTCACTGGGCCTTGGGAAATTTCTGTATTCCTGGGTCCTTACAAGGCCCTTATTTAAAATAACATTTGCAAAAAAAAAAAAAAATTTTTGCAAAGACTGTTTATGGTACAAAAGAGTATTTCAGATTCCTTAGCTACGCGAAAAGAAATAACAAAAATATTCTCAGTATTTCAGTAGTGAAAGACCCAATTTCTAAGGTACCTTTTACTTAGCTAGCTCCAAGTGAAGTAAGTAAGCCTGAGGTCAAACCTTTAAATACAGGGGCCAGGGGTGGGGGTGGGGGCTGTGGAAGGCAGTTGGCTATTTCTAGTAAATGGGAAGTGGGCATTTAATGTATTCAGCCAGGAAGGCACTTGCAGATCGTGATGGGAACTCTGGAGATAAGAAACAGGACAAGGGGGAAGAGACACTACAGGTGGTTGGCTTAAGTTTCTCTGGCCGCTAACAGCTGAACTCAGGCATAAAGAATGACAGAAGCAAGCAAGAGCAGGAGGAAAGGGGTTCGAATTGGGGTTTAGAGGTCCTGGAGTATGGGAGAGCTGGATGTTTCCAAGACCAAGAAGAGGCCGGGGAGGCCGAAGCTTAGTCAGCGGGGATGAACGTGGTATAAAATGAAGCAGAGGAAGCAGGTAGAAGTCAGATGACATGCCCCTTGGATGCATGGTAAGGAGCTTGCATTTGTCTCCAAGGGCAATAGGAAAGCCCACATTGGATGCTCAGTGACCACCTGCACTGAAAGGCAAATTTAAGGATCTCACAGTATTCCCCACGGCTGTTACCAGGGCACCAGGCAAGTGGGGCCTGGAGTAGAACCAGAGTTGGGTCTCAGAATTGAAATGGGGATGGACTTTGTCTTCAGTACTGCAGACCTTCCCCATCTCCCCCATCCTGGATTTTTCAAGTCAAGCTGCACAACCACCTGCTAGGGACAGTCAGCCCACCAAGCCCAGCTGAGCCAGTCATGAAGAATCACCTAGCATCTGCCTGCTTCATCACACTTTATCCACCCGCTCCACGTGCAGTGTACGTAACCAGCCTTGACTACGGGGCTTCCCCAGCACTGTTCTCAATCACCTGGCCTCGCTGACTTCCAGCCTCCTTCTGCTGAGAGGCCCGAGTACTGAAAATCTATCAACTACCCTAATAGGACAAAAGTAATTTTGGAAAATGCAGATGTCTTTCATCATATGGGATACACATCCTCGAACCCATACCCCTGTCAGAGAACGGGGGCCCCACCATTCTCTACATAACAGAGAAGATGTTCTGTTGCCCTAAACCACCTAACCTATAAGCAGTATCTTCCTACCCATTGAGAGCTCACCTGTCAAGTTCCAAACACTTTCTACCCCATCCAGGTTCTTAGAAGAGTAACCTAGAATAACCCAAGAAGGCATCCCTTTCCCACTATGACCTTTCTCTTCCCATCTACCCCAGGAAAGCACTGGATCCAAAGCTGTTACTGCTGGTGAAGTCCCAGGACAGAGGGAACAATCTCTATGTGGTGACAGAGACCGTGGAGCTGACCCAGAGTACTGAGCTGCATGACAGCAGAAGTGTGACTGCTACAGGAAGTTGCTCAATCCCTTGGACTCTTTTGGTCAAGGTACACGGTTGTCCCTGTTGTGGGTTGGGGACACTAAGAGCACAGCCAGCCAGCCTCACTGTTCAGGGGCTCTGCAGTCGATCAGGACCCATCTTTGGGGGTGGAATGAATGGGGCTATTATTTCCCACCTCTCATGTGCTTGACTCCTGACCTGAGAATATATTCTAACACCCTCATTTTAGTATCTTAATATATGAGATTATTCAATATTGATAAAATAGAAGATAAACTTAATTATTGGTGATTACACATTGCTTTGGGTAAATGACAGATTCTGGATCCTCTAAAGTATGGCTGTTCTACTTATACAAGTGGGGCTCCGTGGCTACGGAAACTAGAGACCACAGTACAAAACTTCAGCAGTTAAAATATCCTAAATAACGGCAACCCCTGAGTAGAAAGTGTTCTGGACTGAGATTAAATATCTCCAAGCACGTCTGACGTACATAACTTACAGTAACCGTGTTTAAAAAATGGCTTAAACACCTCAGTTTATCAAATATTAAGTCAACATGAACCATGATTCAGGAACATATAAAGTTTGTGTATGTGTGTTATAATGGACATTTACACGCAATATATTTCATATGTAACTTGTCCTCACTTAAGAGATTTAGGAACTAAAACAAAACAAAAACTGAGATGTGCGCTAACTTTCCAAGATCTGTAAATGAACCCGAAAGGAGAGCAAGGCGCCACCCAGTGTTAAAGAAGTTTGAAACAAAACTCCGTCCAGCTGGGAGGATAGTGCCCTGTTCAGCTGTTTTCCCACCTGTTCGGACGGGTGGACTGGGTTTCGTGAGGACAGAACACCCTGTGGCACCTCGCACAGGGTGACTGCTCAGCGGTGTGTCCGGCCGCCGTCCCAGCTGTTCACAACCAGTGCCATCTAAGTGTGGGCTCTGGGGCTGTGACATCGAACAGTTTGTATGTCACCCCTGGTTCATGGCTGCCTCAGTTTCCCATGCCGTTGATTTGCACTTGACTCTCTTAGGTAATATTTGATTCGCCAGGACATGCAAAGAGTAGGGCTGAATTCTGGAGAAGCCATTTACTCACTTGGCTGCCTGAGGACAGTATTCTTGTTTCTGAGATAGGGGTCCCTCATCCATAAAATTAAAATATAACACCTCCGTAGAAGTCCACTACAATATGTATTAACAATCAGCTCTCTAGAATACAGTAATTACTACTCCCCGGGATGGTTCATTTTACGTTGCCGCTGTGACTGGTCCATGATACTTGGTTCAGCACTACTCTGGGTGTGTCTGCGAGAGGGGCTTCCAGATGAGCTTTGAATGGGCAGACTGGTAAAACAGGGTAAGTGAGCCTCATCCAGTCCACTGAAGGTATGCACAACACAAGCGTGGAGAAAGACGAAGTTCACTCTCGGCCTGAGTGTCTTTCAGCTGGGACACTGTTCTTCTGCTGTCAGACTGACTGACACTGTGAGCTACACCATGGGCTCGCCTGGTTCTCGGGCCTTTAGATTCGAATGAGAACCATACCATAAGTTCTCCTGGGCCTGCACATCTTGGGACTTCTCAACCATTGTAACTGCATGAGCAGATCCCTCACAATAAAGCCCTTTAGACAGATAAATATATAGACAGAGAGACAGAGAGCCTAGTGGTGCTGTTTTTCTGGAAAACCCAGACTGATATTCTCAGTAAAGTTTGTCAGCTTTTCGCTTGATTTGAGGACAGAGTGACAATTTCTAAGCTCTTTACGTGCCAGGCCAGAAACCGGAAGTCTACATTTTTTTTAATAGAAAAACCAAAATATAATAATCAAAGAAATATCCCCCCCCCAAAAAGTAAGGAAAATGTTAATTTTAAAATTAAGAGGGTTAGTCCTGGAGATTCAAAATGTGAATAACAGGAGCTCCAGAAAGAGAGAACGGAGACACAGTCAGACAGTCACCCAGGAAATAATACAAGAAAGGCAGGACTGGAAGAATGTGCTTCCAGATGAAAGGACCAACAGGAGGCCAGTTTCATGGGTCCACATACACCACAAAACCTAAGTGCGAACTATCAGGAAATTTGCTTCCAAAAGAAAATCAAGAATATCTCCAAAAAAGGAAAACAAGAGTCATTTTCCAAAAAAGTACAGCTTAGAATTCTATGTCCAGTCAAAATAATGCTCAAGTGTGAGAGTAAAAGAAGGAAGTCTTCAGAAATGCATGATCTCACAAAATTCAACCCTACATTTCCTGGGAAGATGAGTAAGAGGCAGAGAGGGCACAGGACTGACACAAGTAATTAACTGATAAAGCAAAGATCTGGAGTGAGGAGAAGCAGTTTCCCCAAGAGTAAACAATGGATTTTAACATAGATATTGGGATGTGAACATTTTAGGAGGATGGGGAAGGATGGGTAGGGCTGGGGAAGGGGGAAGAGTAAGAAGACAAAATCTTCATCATTCAAAGGAGAAAATAACTGGATACACTTAAATCTGAAAAAAATAATAAATCACTGCAATGCAAACATGAACCTGAGAAAAATGAAAGTAAATACTGGACCAAGAAGGACTAAAGAGCAGGACCTGAAAATCAGGATCAAGGGAGAGTGAGAGGAGGAAGATGCTGGGTTCTCTGAGCATGAGCTTCCTAGCTGTACCTGAGTTTTAAGATCACATGCATATGGGACCGTACTGCCTGCTTTCTCTCCCCAGGGTCAATGCCAGGGAGAGGTTCACAAAGTGACAGAGAAGATGCTGACTCTGTCACAGGGCACGGTGTTGGCCTACAAGAGGAAGCAGCTGCTTTTTGAGGAGAATGGCTGGGGTAAGCAGAGGCTGCAAGAGGCAGCTGGGGAAGGAAGGGGAGAAACGAGAGGGGAAGGAGCATCAGCACGCTCACGCTTCCACTCTCGGCTCCGCCCACTCACGGAGAAGGCTGAGGACGTTTCCCAGCCGTGGGGGCGCACACACGTCCCACCACGCATGGCCCCCTCCTGCCCGGCACGGCCTGAAACGCTGCTGGGGGAGATACAGAGACAGTGTCCCACATGGAGAGGGACAAAGAGGGACCCAGTGCCAAGGTGTCCTTAGCACTGGGCGAAGTGCAGCCCCAATCCCACCGTCTCCATTCAGTCAAGGACTCACTCAAGCCACTCTCAGCAGTTCACCTGGGAAGCCACAGGGAGCTCTCCAGGCTCCCCATCACCTCAGGTCAAAGCCCCTGAGATATCAGCAGGGTCCCAAACCAAACTGGGGACATAATGTCCTCGGAGCATAAGGCAGGGCTTTATCTACACCTCTCCCTCCCTCGCTAGCCGCAGGGCCCCAGCACGCCCCCCTCTGGGCTCTGATTCCACAGGGGGGCAACCATCTGCGGTAAACAGCAGCTGCAGGGCTGGGTGGACTGGGGAGTGCTGGGGCACAACCAGCTCAGAGTGCTTGGCCTGTGCCTTCCCAAACTGAACTCCCAGGTAGAGGTGAGCCTGGTACAGCTGGGGTCCAGCTCCTCAGGGATGCGGGGATGCCCTCACCACACACACACGTACTCATACACGCATGCACACACACACACACACAGAGGTATTCACCCACCCACACACACACACATTCACACACTATTCTCTGTAGTATCCGCACTGCAACATCTAGTCTCAGCACATTTCTCACATAGAGCGTGAAATCACCCATGTCTTCCTGGACAGGATTGGGAGCAGAAACAGGTAAGGGAGGAGACCTCAGGAGAGTAAGACAAAGAGCACCAGACAGACAATCCTACCCAAAGAAGGAGGGACAAAGCCAATTACCTTTACCTTACAGAGACAGTTCTCCAGTGTCAGAGAGCACAGTGACCAACCAAGGTGCTTGTAGAAAAGGCGGGTTCCAGGCTCTTCTTCAGAGTCAGTTCGGGGGTTTTGAGTTTTAGCCAGTATCACAGGGGACTATGATGGAGGGGTCCCCGGCCCCACTGAGAAGAGCTGCCACGGCCGGCCTGGAGGGGGCGGTCTGGGGCTGTAGGTGCCCGGCTGTGAACCCAGTCCAGCAGGAATAACCTCAGCTGTCCTGGCCTGACTTCCTCCCACCCAGATATTCTCACCCCAGATGACGACAAGCCGAAAACCTTTCCAGGGCGCGCCTGGGTGTTCAAGTCGGGAAACAGTAAGCATCTGCCTTCAGCTCGGGTCATGATCTCAGGGTCCTGGGGTACAGTCCCACTTCAGGCTCCCTGCTCAGTGGGGAGTCTCCTCCTCCCTTTCCCTCTGTCCCTCACCCGTTTGTGCTCTCTGGCTCTTGCTCAGCTCTCTCAAATAAATAAAATCTTAAAAACAAACAAACAAACAAACAAAAACCTTTCCAAAAGGTGAGCTCCAGAGCTGGGCAGTTCTCTGCCTCGACTCAGACCCTGCTGAGCCCTGACCCCCTCTGGATACAAGTAAGAGCCATGCACAGGGCTCAGCCCCCACAGACCCACAGGGAATCTTTCCAGCCAGATTCCTCCACCGCCTCCTACTGTCCCCTGCCTTTGACCTGCACAGGCCTCAGCCACCAGAAAGCCACCTTTCTCCTTTGAACACTAAGATAGGGTTGTGGGGCGGGGGGGGGGGGGGGGGGGCCGCGCGCCCCCCCGCGGGCGCCCCCCCTTCCTGTGGGAAGGGGGGGGGGGGGGGGGGGGGGGGGGGGGGGGGGGGGGTGCTGCCTGGGTCTCCATGTGCCTAGGCACCAAGTCAACTGAAGTAGTGGGAAGAGGTAAGAAATCCAGGGGCGGGGGTAGGAAGAGGAGGAGGAGAAAGCTGGGAAGAGGAAGGAGAGTGGTGGGGAGGAGGCAAGGGAAGAGGAGAATAAGGCTTTGTGAATGAGTATTTCTGTTTCTCTTTCCAGCAAAATGGTTCACAGGTTTTATACCGTTACCAGGTGAGTGGTGGTTTTCAAGGCAGGAAGGTGGGAATGTAGCCCTCCATGAGGCCACTTTGCACAAAATCCCCCATGATTGCCTCTGCTGTCCCTACCTGAGGTGGGAGATATGGCCCCTGGGCAAAGGGCAGGAGTAGATGGACAGGAGGGGGTCAGGGAAGTCAGGGGCAGAAGGTCAGAGAAACTGAATGTCTTCAGAAGCTAAGTCTTGGGCAGGGGACATACTTTCTCTTTTAGACACCCTCACAAGCAGTCCCCTCCCCCTAATAGGTATGTGTCTGCTGGAGGAGAGCAGGGGGATCTCATTCTGCCCACATCCAGTCAGCAGGGCAGACTGCCCTGGCCTTTGCCACCAAGGCCCTAGTGCCTGGCCCTAGCTTTTGTGGAACAGGAAAGGTGCAGGAAGGCCATGGGGTTGGAGGGATGGACCCAGATTGGGGCAGGAAGAGGACAGGCAAGAGGAAGTGGTGAGAGGACAGAACCCTCCAAAGTGTCTCAAAAGCCGATCTAAGCATGAGAAAAGAGATGATCACTTGTGCTTCTCTTTCCAGGAAGAGAATGCAGATTCCTCCTGCAAGGTGAGTGTCTACTAAGAGGGAATTAAGGGGCTTCCACGGTAGGAAGCTGCAAAGCTGAGAACCCAAATTGGAATTTCCATTCAACTCAGAAAACTTCTTCCAAACAGATGCTCTTGTCCAATCTGCTTATTCATTCTTTTATTCACTTCTGCATGCCTGCGACAAACATCCATGAAAAACTCAGTGGGCAACAGGCATTATTCTGAACCCTAGGAATACAGCAGTGACCCAAAGAGAAACGCCTGTGTCACTGCAGCTTCCATCCCACTGGCCCCTCAGTCAGCAGATCATCTTGAGGCCACCTGAAGTCTGCTAGCAGAAGCAGAGAGCCCCCAAATTCTTTCCTTGGTTAATTCTTTAAAAAAAAAATTATTTATTTGAGAGACACAGGGAGAGAAAGAGAGACAGAGACAAAGAGCATGAGCAGAGGGACAGGAAGAAACAGACTCACCGCAGAGCAGGAAGCCCGACATGGGGCTCAACCCCAGGATGCTGAGATCATGACCTGAGCCAAAGACAGACGCCCAACTGACTGAGCCACTCAGGCACCCCAGTTCTTTGGTTAAAACTGTCTGTGGATATAGACGATACAAGTAGAATTACACAATAAGAAGGATAACTCGTGTGCACCCAGTATTACCCCAAGCATTTTCCATATGTAAACTCAATTTAATCCTTTTAACATCCCCATTTAACAGATGTAGAAACTGAGCCCAGGGCACGTAAGATCCTCATCTCTAAGGGCCCAACATTAGAATCCACGTTATGTCACACATGTCCCAGAAATGAGCACCTGGTGATTTTCTTCCACTTCCCATTACCCCTTTCCAGAATCTCCATCTCTTCTCCCTGCTTTCTACCCCTCTCATTTCATAGTGCTCAGACAGTCCGTTTGCTAGTCTGCTACTTCTAACCTATTCAGAGCTCAAACATGCCATCCACAGAGATGCTCTTTGTTGATAAAAGGGCTCCTACTGATAGGGAAGGGCTGATCATCCCAGGAATGTTCTAATCAAAGAATTGTACCCATTCTCTTTGTTGTTGATTCCTGTTGGCAGAATTTGAGCACCTACAGGAGGAGACTTTCCAGGAAATGGAGGCCCTGTCCCTGCTCTCACAGGACGCTCAGGATGCTATATTCCATACTATCCTGAACATGCTTGGGAACCAAGAGGCTTTGCAGGACCTCACGGATGAGGTGAGGGGTTCTTACAGCTACCTAGAGCTGATCAAAAGTGGTAATGGGGGGAGGGGCGCCTGGGTGGCTCAGTGGGTTAAGGCCTCTGCTTTTTTTTTTTTTTTTAAACATTTTATTTATTTGAGAGAGAGAGAGACAGTGAGAGAGAGCATGAGCGAGGAGAAGGTCAGAGGGAGAAGCAGACTCCCCGTGGAGCTGGGAGCCTGATGCGGGACTCGATCCCGGGACTCCAGGATCATGACCTGAGCTGAAGGCAGTCGCTTAACCAACTGAGCCACCCAGGCGCCCAAGGCCTCTGCTTTTGGCTCGGGTCATGATACCAGGGTCCTGGGATCGAGCCCCACATCGGGGTCTCTGCTCAGCAGGGAGCCTGCTTCCCCACTCTGTCTCTGCCTGCCTCTCTGCCAACCTGTGATTTTTCTCTCTCTCTCTCTCTCTCTGTCAAATAAATAAATAAAGTCTTAAGAAAAAATAAAATAAAATTAAGTTAAAAAAAAAAAGTGGTAATGGGGGCAGGTTTAGGAGATGCTGCTACCAAGGCACATGGAGAAGGAGGGACGGAGCAATTCCAGGGGAAAGAGTAGAATGTGAGAGATACAGGACACTGGCCTCAAGCACGATAGGGCCAAGGAGTACAGTCGCAAATACTGAGGCTGCTAGAAATCCCCTGGCACAGGTAAAGTGCCCTGACCTCCCCAATTTTGTTACTTACATACAGCCTGAAAAGACACAGGCAAAATTATTTAACAATACTAGTTGTACTAGTAGTATCATATTGCCAATAACACCAATCTCCTACAGCTGGATAGGAACCCCTGGGATCCTTTGGATAGCTTTGGTGGCAAAATCCTAAATGAGATGCAAGAGGACATAAGAGACCTATGGATCCAGGAAAGATTTCACATCATTTACCTCCTTGAAGCCATAATGGGTAAGAGTGATCTGGGGGACAAGTACGAAAGTCACAAGTTTGGCCTGCAGACCTCATAAAAGCCATGGGTTAGATGCCACTTCTCCAAAACCCTTCAAATATCATGATCTTCATCCTCACATATCACCTCTCTCCAAAGTCTGGCAGGCTTAGTGAGATCAATTTGCCATGTGAACAGAGAACAGGCCTCAGGTCCAGAAAGTGACGAGCCCAAGTTCATCCAACACATCACTGTGGGTGGATGATTCCAGGCTCTGGCCTCGGGATCCCATTCTCTGGACCATGTCATGTAGCATCCCGAAGACCATCCCAAGAGCAGAGCGGGAACTTTCTAGTATAGGGAACTTGACCTTCAAGTCCAGTGGATTATTCCTCTGCCTCAGAGTTCCCCTCTCATTGGGTCTCCTAGTTCACAGCAGGGAGAGGAAAATATGACTTTTCATCACTCTTTCCCCAAATGTTCCCAATCCCAGTGCTGAGTGACACCCAACATGATCTGCTGGCCCAGTCCATGAAGAAGAAGATCCTGCTCCAGCAGCAGGAGCTGGTGAGAAATCCCCAGGGGCAATGCCCAGGGAATAGGGTGAAAAAACTGGAGTTAAGAATGACTCCAAGGAAAAAGAGATGATGGAGGTTTCTGCCAGGAAGGGAGACAGGATCCTGCTCTGGCAACTGGGAAATCCCTGGCTGCAACTGCCTCTAGGGAACAGGCCCCAGTGGCTATGAGCTACTTTAGGAGGGTCTCCATTTCACTGGCAACCCCAGCAGAGGGGCCCGCCAATTCTAAAATAGCCATATAGGAACCCAGGTTTGGGAACTCAGGGGCTTGGAATCATATCCCTGCTTTATTAACACAGTTACCACTTGAGGATTGCTCTCTCCTCATACCTATATGTAAGTACGTATGTGTGCAGACATATGCATACCCATATACACACACTGCATGCGTGTATGCACACGCACACACATCTAACTCCAGCTGCCACTATTCCACACGGGAAACGTTAGTGTAACCATTTATCAGATGAGGAACCAATGCTCAGCGTTTTCCAGTAATGTGTCCACAATCACACTGATCACAGGACATGACCAGGACATGACTCCTGGTCCCCTTGACTCCAAAAGTCTTACCATTTTCAGTTACCCTGCATGACCCTCTTGGGGACAAATTTTCTCTTTCCAACCTTAAATGCTGGCCTGTAACATCAGATACCGCTTATTCTAGGTAAGGAGCATCCTGGAGCCCAACTTCAAATACTTCGAGGATATCCCCTTCACCCTCAAACCTGAGCTCCTTGCCACACTCCAGGATGAGGATTTGGCCATCACCTATGGCCTTCTGCAGGAGTGTGGCCTGAATATGGAGCTGAACAGCCCCAGCTCAACCTGGGATCTGGAAGCCAAGCAGCCCCTGTCTGCCCTGTATGGGACCCTCTCCCTGCTGCAGCGGCTGGCAGTCAGTCCAGAGAGGCCTGCCCCCCCCCACAGTCTATGCTGGGAGCTTCCCTAATGAGCTCAGGGGCCCAAGGGCCACCACTTCTGGCGTTCCAGGTAGCATGGAGCCAGGGATCAGCACACCTGAGGGAACATTCTGAAGTGACAGATCTGTATCTGGATAAAGGTTCATGGAATTGTCAAAGCTCATCAAACAGTATCTAAAGATATGAGCATTTTGCTGTATATTAAAGCTACTCCAAAACAATGTAAACAAATACTGAACTCTAGTAACAGTACGAATTGTTTGGGATGAAATGTACTGGTATCTGTAATGTGAAATGCATCAAAAAATAAGGTGATTAATTAAGGGATAGATAGATATGTGACCAGGAAGAGGTAGTAAAATGTCAAAAACAAGAGGGTTTTTTTTCTTCAAACATTTCTTGAAACATCCAGAATTGCTTCAAAAAATAATATTCCCCCAAATTATACCTGCGTATTGATCACTATGTATTGCACATATTGCACATATGTATGCACATGTACTTTTCCAAAATTGTGCTTTTTGAGCTATTTTAAAGGGAACACTGAGGGACATCTGGGTGGCTCAGTCGTTATGCGTCTGCCATCAGCTCAGGTCATGATCTCACTATCCTGGGATCAAGCCCCGCATCAGGCTCCCTACTCAACAGACAGGGGGCCTGCTTCTCCCTCTCCTACTCCTCCTGCTTGTGTTCCCTCTCTTGCTGTCTCTCTTCTGTCAAATAAATAAATAAAATCTTTTAAAAAAATTAAAAGCAACACTGAGAGAACAAAAAAAAGAGGTCTTAGAAATGAAAACTATTATCAAACGTCATATGCTGCGGCCACTGCCCCTCAGGGGGCCCCCTCGCCTCTGCTTGCCTTTCCTGTGGTTGATTTGCCTTCAACTCCTTAAAGCCTCCTCAGCTCCATTCCTGCAGCAGCAGGTCTCTAATTAACAGATGATGGCAAAGCCCACCCACAGCTCCATCCTCCAGCAGCGAAACCACCAAACGGAGTGGGGTTTTCTCCATGATTGCTGGGCTGCAATCCATGACGTTCGCTTTCAAGCACATAAAGCCGTTCTGGCTGCCTGTAGCTCCCCTTTCAGAATGTTTTTCTTGAACCATCAGCACAGGACTGCACAACTGAATCTCAGCAACATAAAAATTAGTGCTGAGTGTTCTGATCTCATTTTGCAATTCGTGTATTTAGGGAAAACTATGACCGCTCCCTCCAGTTGTGAGCAGGTTAAAGCGGCGATGAGCTGCCTACAGCTGTACATCGTCCCCGACTGCTTAGAAGACATACAGGATGCAGACTGTTCTAGTTCAGAATGTTCGCCTTCTGCTTCTAGCAAACAGAGGAGCAAAATGGTTATTTTGGGGTAAGGCGCAGTGGCTAGAAATGGCAGTGAAGCCAACAGGTGGTGTGCAGAGCCAAGTTCAACAGTACCATGCGATCGAGAGCCTGATGAAGTCTTTACAGTTAGGCAATTTTCCCAAACCAGTATCTGATGTATGTAAGAAAACGTTCAGCGTCCAAATTATCTAGTCCAAAAGATCCCATGTCACGGCACTTTGAACGGAGTTTTAGGTGTGATAGTCGGGGATTTGGCTTTAGCTCTAAAAAAAATTTCGAGATGAGCATGGGCTAACCTGCATTAACAGACATTCACACCAAAACACAAGATCCTACCACAAAATAGCAGATATTAGAGATGGAAAAATGGTAGTACCCAAGCCAAATGTGGTGAAAAGGCATCTTCTAAAACATTTTGTACACAGACAGATGAATACGGAGGAGACACCAGCCAGGCTGCTGCCGATTCCACTGCAACCGCCAGGAGCAGAAAGAGGGCACGGTGGAGTCTAAACTAGCCAGCGGAGAAAAAGCAGAGCTGCAGAGAGGGAAAGAATCCTTACCTAGATGGCCCAGAAGACGCTCCTACAGCTGAACCAAAAGACTTTAACACTATTAAAGTTACTGATAAAGACTGTAATGAATCCACTGACAACGATGAGTTAGATGAACCTGCAGAGCCATTTCACAGACACTACGCTGAAGAAGGTACCACTATTAAGAAAAGTGGTAGGGAAAGTCTGAAACGGTGGATGTCGATAAATGCTGATGGAAGAGGTGGTCCTCTAACAGCCCAAACATCCTGTGAGCTGTGCGCACTCCAGTAACTACGGATCTGTCATCTCGTTCCTCAGCCAAACACACTGAACATATCTGTGTGCGGGGGAAATGTGGACAGATCCTCGTTAAGGGCAGGCAGCTTCAGGATCCCATGCAAAGATGGGGAGAACCCCACAATCTGACAAGGAACAGGGTTAGGAAATGCAGAGGAGAAGATGCACGTGGGAGAGAGTCCTCATGAGCAGTCAGAAGAGATGTGTTTGTGGAAATGTTGGATGATTTTAGGGACAATCATTTCCAGATAAACAGTATCCCAAAAAAACAGTTATTTAAACATTCTGCCTGTCCTTGTCAACATCCTAATTGTGGCCAGTGTTCTGAAACTGAAAATCTAGTGCTTGAACATATGCCTCGCTCCCTAGACCAGGATGTGTTTTAAGATGCCATCGTGGAAGAAAATGAGAGACCACAGACGAAAGCATTTTTGTAATCCACGCGGAAAAGGATTTTATCATTGGTGTCACTCAAAAGAACACTATACTGTCCATACGAAGTTAAAACAGTCTGTTTGTTGGACACGTGGAAAGCACATAAGACCATAAGGCATGTCTGGTCCACCTGTGATCAAGGAAACCTCAGAAAACATGACCCCTTGCTGCACATGATTTCTCATTTAACTGCTGGCGGGGCTACATGTCAGGTCTGCTTTCCGATCTGCCCAAACAGGACCCGGATGCTCATCTGCATACGTGTGGAACATACAGAGTGAAATTTAATCTGAGGAAAGAGGAGATTACATGATAATGCCAACCATTTGCAAAGAACATAAGTGATTTTCTACTGTACTAATGTCTAGTTGATAGCAGACAAAACACCAAACCAAAGGATAAGAGCTATTTAGAAATCGATTTTATGAGATGAATTGTTGGGAAAAAATTTCAAATTTTGTTTGGGGTCTTATCTACATTTTAGGTGTTATTAAATGTTTATCATTTTTATTATTTCTTAATAGAATTTGTTGATTTTCATTTGTTTTAGATATGATTAAAATTATTTTTGGGGCCCCTGGGTGGCTCAGTCCGTTGAGGCTCTGCTTTCAGCTCAAGTCAAGATCCCAGGGTCCCACTGATGGGCTCCCTGCCCAGCAGGGGCCTGCTTCTCCCTCCCCCTCTGCCACTACCTCTGCTTGTGCTCTCGTGCTGTCCCCACAACCTCAGATAAATAAATGACTTCTTTAAAAAAATAAAATAAAATTACTTTTCAATGTAGACTACAAGTGGTCATTACCCCTTCAATGTCTATTAAATGTCTATTAAACTTTAGTTTTTTTATTAAAAAAAAGAAATTAAACCATTATAATAAAAACTCAATAGAAGGATCAGAAGGTAAAGCTTTCCCAACAGGTAAAGTAAAAAGTCATAAGATGAAAAATAAGAAAGAGGAAAAAAAGGAATTTAGAAGAGCAGTTTAGGAAGCCTAACAGCTGGGTAAAACAAGTTCTCAAAAAGAGAACACACACACACAAGTGGAGAGGAAATTATCAACAAAATAATTCAATAAAATATCCCATAACCAGAATATGAGTTTCCAGATTTAAAGAACCCATCACATACCTGACACAAATGGATGAAAATGAGACCATATCAAAACACATTTGTGTGATGTTTCAGAACATGCAGGATAGAGTAAAAATCCAGGGAGAAGAATAAATGTTATCTACAAAAGATCAAACATAAGCATAACTTTAAGGGGTGCCTGAGTGGCTCAGTTGGTTAGTTAGTGGCTCAGTTGAAAGGATGTGATACAACAAAATGAGAGAGACCCAGGAGGAAGATACTGGCTACGGGGAAAAGATTAAGTGTAGAATAGAGACAGGGGGATTCCCAGGGTGACAGTGGGGCTGGAGGGGGCACAAAGGACAAGTAGTCCCCATCTGAGCAGATAGGAAGGCTTTGGGGGAGATTTCTCCAGGAAGAGGAAATTGATAAAATACCTTGAATCTGGGATATTAAATACAAGATTTAAGGAATTTGGGATTTAAGTAGATATATAGAAAATAGAAGGAAAAATAAAAATTGACAATGAGAAACAAAACAAAAATCCTACAGGAAAGGAAAAATAATTATGGTTTATTAAAGCTGAGTAGTGTTTACATAGTCACAATTTGATGGGACCTGTGCTGTTGTGTAGAGCCAAGGGGACCCGAAATCCTCATCTCCCTTGGTGTAAGTCCATGGACAATGCCACAACTGAGCAAGCTTATTATTAAGAGATGTGAGACACAAAAGGCCACATATTATATTATCCTGTTCATATGAAATATCTAGAACAGGCAAATCCAGAGAGACCAGAAAGTATATCAGTGGTTAGCATGAGGAATAATGAAAAGGTTCTAAAAAGGGCTGTGGTCATGGCTGCACAATTCTGTAAACATACTAAAGCCAATGACTTGTACACTTTCAAGGGATGAACTGTATGGCTTGTGAATTATATCTCAAGAATGCCCTTTAAACAAGAAATAAGGGAGGTAATTACCAAAACAAGTGATCGTTTCTGGGAAGAAGCAACAGAAGTAGGGGGGGCATGAAAGAGGGGGCAGGATCAGATCAGCTTCGATAAGTCAATCAGAGAAAGACAACTATCATATGATCTCCCTGATATGAGGAATTTGAGGACAGGCAGAGGGGTTTGAGGGGTAGGGAAGGAAAAAATGAAACAAGATAGGATCTGGAGGAAGACAAACCATAAGAGACTCTCAATCTGACAAAACAAACTGAGGGCTGCTGTGGTGGGGGGGATGAGGTGGCTGGGTGATGGACACTGGGGAGGATATGGGCTATGGTGAGTACTGTGAAGTGTGTAAGCCTGATGACCCACAGACCTGTACCGCTGGGGCAAATAATGCATTAT